TAGAGTTCATCTAAACATGTTTAGAGTTCATCCAAACATGTTTAGAGTGCATTAAAACACTTTTAGAGTGCGTCGGAACATGGTTAGAATTCGTCTAAACATGTTTTGAGTGCACCAAATCACGTTTAGAGTACGTCCAAACCCATTTAGCGTGCATCCAAATAGCTGCATAGAAGCAAAATTCATAAACTGTTCCAAACCGTTAATGAATTCTTGCGTTACCTCTTTTGTAATCGAATCAACTCTTTCGTATATCCACTGTCGGGACGAACGAATATTCGGATTTGTTGAAGATGTCATTTTTAGGAGAATTTTTGGTAAAAGAATAGTATATGAGTGATTTAGAGAGTGGTTTGGACGAATTATGGTCGAGTGCTATAAATAGAGAAACATTCCAACGGATATCCGTTGGAAATCCGTTGCAATTTTCGTTACCGTTAGACTTTCCAACGGATATCCGTTGGAATATTTCGAACGTTATAACGTTCGACTATTTCCAACGGATATCCGTCGGAATTATTACCGCGTTTCATAACGTTCGAATAATTTCAACGGCAATCCGTTGAAATTCGTCAAACGTTACTTCCAACGGAAATCCGTTGGAATATACGTGGAAAATTTCCAACTCAAATATCCGTTGATATGCCGTTGGAAATTGCCAACGGATTTCTAACGGATGAATCCGTTAGACGTCCGTTGGAAATCCGTTAGAAATGCGTTGGAATTATTCCAACGGATTCCCGTTGGAAATCCGTTGGAAAATTTGCAACGGATTAATCCGTTGGAAAAATCCGTTGGAATTTCACAGTTTTTTTGTAGTGCAAATCCATATTCACAATTCCAGATTCTTGTCCTTGTGAACTCGGACCGTATCTAATGAGAATTGCGTGAAACAGCTTTCTTGTCCATCTTGACGAAGAAGCAACAAGTCTGGGAAAGCTTAGCAACGGTCAAGACCGAGACAGGAGCTTGTATTCACGTAAGCTTGAATCATGCAAATCAATATTATAGTGATTGTCTCATATCTTGACCTTTCCTATTGTTTAGCTATTCTTTCCATTATTTATGTATATAATATCTAGATTTCCTTTAACATGCACACATGTATTTCCTATTTATTGTGTACAGAACAAATAATAAAATATACAGAGAATTATTTTTCTCATCTGTTTTCTTCCTCCTCTCGGCACTATTCTCGCCGAAGTAGGGTTTTCGATCAACCTTGTTCTGTTTATTCATATGGTATCAGAGCGACACCGATCCACAAACCACCATACTATCTAATCCTTCATCAACATCTATCCGACATATCTGTCGAGAACAACACCATGGATTCTTCTTCTGTCCGTTTGATTCCCGTCATGCTAAACGGCGATAACTATATGAGCTGGTCGAGATCGGCCAAGATGTTTCTCAAAAGCAAAGGATGGTGGAATCATATCACCACCGCCAAAGACATCACTGAATCTGCAACCACTCCGCTCTCCGAAACGGACTCCAAATGGTTGCAGGAGGATCATACCGTTATCACAGTCTTACAAAGCTCGTTTGATAATACCATAATGGCATCTTTCAACCACATAGAGTCTGCCAAGCTGTTGTGGGACACGTTGCAGGATGTATTCGGGAATACATCCAATGTCAGCCGCATTTATGAAATCAAACGAAGAATATACTCTCTTCGTCAGGAGGAGAAATCATTCAATGTTCTTCTCGGTGAATTCACTGCCCTTTGGTCCGAGTTTTGTGAGCTGCGTCCACCACCGACGGATACAAAGGAGAAGGCAAATCACGAACAAGACAAAACCTTTGCCTTGCTCTCTGCACTTAATGGCAACTACAAAAATCTCATTCAATCGATCCTTCGAGAGACCACTCTTCCGTCATTCACTGAGGTATGTGCACGAATAAAGAAAGAAGAAGGGGGACAATCCCTTTTCACCGGTTCGAGTGAGCTTGCCCATTCTGCGACACATCTTGCTCCGCGACAATCCGAAATTGCTGCCAAAGCTGGTCAAAACAGAGCATTTGGGGACAGACGGACTTACACATGTGATCATTGCCGAAAAAAAGGACATACCAAGGATAAATGCTGGATTCTTCATCCGCATCTTAAGCCTCACAGGTTTGCTTCTTCTAATCCCCACTCGGAGCAAGCTCGTTTTGCAGGTGAAACTCAGAATGTCAACGTGGAGGAAGGGAGCACAATTAACACTCACAATGCATTACAAGGTTCAGAATATGTCACGAAAAATGACATGGCAGCCATGATCCAAAACCTCACATCCAACATCTCAAAAATGATTGCCTCTAAAGACTTTGGTAACTCTTCTCTCACACTCTTTGCTAGTAACGATTTAATTGTTGACTCGGGTGCTACTAACCATATGATATATAATCCTGCTTTATTATCAAATATTAAAGATGCTCATGGTTCGATCTCGGTTGCAAATGGTCATAATGTCTCTATTAAAGGAATCGGAAAATTGAAGTTATGTGATAAGGAAACGGATGCATTATATGTTCCCAACTTCACTAACAATCTTTTGTCCGT